AGCGCCGAGCTGGTGCTCGCTGGGGCTGTGCCTTCCTGTTAGCACAGCACTTTCTGTTTTCTGTTAAAACAGGGCCACAGCGACGATGCAAGTATAGATCTGCAATGCCAAGAATATCTGGGAAGCCTGCCAGCAAGAAGCAGCCTTCCTGCTCGTCCTCCCGCTGTGTGCAAATTCACAGGAAACAGAATCTACAGCACATACTAATGTGGCTTAATGCGAGATCCAAGAGCCACCTTGAGATCCTGCTTCCATCCCTGTCAGCCTGGGGAAGGAACCACATGCCAAGAACATTAAATCATTAAATAAAGGAGGAAATAAAACCTGCACAGGTGCATAAAATCCCACATAGGTGCCGCTGCTTTACGAAGTGATGCTCTGCTGTGCAAGCTCAACATGCTGCCAGCATCGCCACCAGTAGGAAGGGACAAGCACAGGTCCCTGGCACATTCACTGCTCAAAAATGGCTTCACAGCCTCCTACAAGCACCCATATCAACCAGCAAAGTCCGTGTCCTTTGGTGTTTATTATGGTGTGACTCTGGGAACACAAAACACACCTGAAATATCTTCCCATTTACAACAGTAAAGGTACCCAAAGCCCTGATTCTCCCAAACTGCTGATAGCTCTTACTCTTACTTTACCTTGTTTAATCCTGGAGCTATACTGCAACCAGCCAACTTTGCCTCCAACACCCAACTGCACCCCACAGCAGACTGGGACCTTTTAGCTGGATCTCCTCGCGCTGGAAATCTCTGTGCCTCTGTTTGCACAAGTGCAAAATAACTGCAGAGTTCACACAGGGGCTGTAAGGCTCAGCTCTGATCCAAGAAAGCCTTGGAGATCCTTCCACTATGGGCTCTAGCAGAGGTGGAACACAGGGCACCACGGGGATGCCGTGTCACCACCACCCACATCGCAGGTGGATGAGCAGAGACACATGGGCAGGGGATGCCAGCCTGCCTGCTGGAAGGGAAAGCTGTCCTGACTACTCACTCTGATAGCTCCCATCTGACTGGAAGTGGCTTTTATCTCCAAAGAGGAGCCCTTCAAGCTCCAGGCAATTCTCAGGCCAATAAAATTCTCAGGCTCAAATAAAACCCTTTTGAATAGCCGTGAGCCAGAAGTGATCGTGAAGAGGAAACAGCTGATCTCCTGTGCTGCCTCTGATGACCCTGGCATCCAGGTGGCTGCCAGCAGCATCCTCCTGGGACAACAAGCCAAGATATGCTGCCTCTCTTTCTTCCCTGCTTTCCTCACAACTGCATTGCAATTTGTGCTAACCTAGAAAGGACCCTCGAGTTTAAGGTGGCTCTTAGTGGAGGCATTTTGAGACAGCTGCTTTCTGGAGAAAGCATTCCTTAAAATACAGCTCTTGCCTTCTGCCTCTACCCCAGCTTTTGACATTTTACAGCTCCAGTAAAACAAAATGTTTTAAAAATCTCATTTTCAGCTTTGGAGGCACAAAACCTAGAGCCAATTTCCAAGCAGCCAGGCGGGAGATGAAAAGAGCAGCAGTGGCTCTGTGGCACCTTTCGGACAAGGAGCTCTGGAGTGGGAAGCAGCTCCCACACACCCCACAGCACAATCCCTGGCTGCTGATAGCTCAGCCCAGGAACCAACTCCTGAGCATCAGCACCATGGGCTGGCTATAATTCTGCAGGCAATGCTCCTGGGGCTCTTCTCTCCAGCCTCCCCACCTCCTTCTAGGAATCTCACATGGAAGTGGCTGTCAGAAGTGACAACATCAGGACTGGATTAGCACAGGCATCCCCCCCTAAAGGCAGGATGCTCTGTTACACCTCTGAGATGGGGGAAAGCAGAGCACTGACATCGAGGAAGAGCATCAGCCACTGGGCTCCACATTTCCAGCCCACAAGAAGCATCAGTGCTGGGACTTTTTTCAGCAGATTAAAGGAATTTGGATTGTCCATACCCAGCACAGAGAGGATATTCAGTTTAGACAAAATTTTTTGAGTAGGGAGAAAGGAAAGTTTGGAAGCAAAAGAGGAAAGTGATGCTGAGGCCATGGGGCAGCAGCCACAGGGTGAGGGGCAAAAGCAGCAGCTCAGGCAGGACCAGCAAGGTGACTGCTCCTGGGAGGGAGACTGGGGTGAGCAACTAAGCTGGTAAAGCAATTAAACAGGAGAGGTAAATTGAGTTGTAAGGCCTTTTAAGGCTGCTCTCTTAAGGCAGATGAAATAGAGTCATCTCTTGTGAAAATAATTTGACATTTCTCCAAAACAGGGCAAGATGCAAGGAGGAGTTGTCAACCCTGGAGATAGCAAAATTACTGCAGTCTGCACTGTCCCTGGCAGTCCAACACTGCCCTCTCCACCTCCCATTCTCACATCAGTGGCCCAAGGGGGAAAACCTTGAGGGCAGGGATGTTTTGGGAGGCAGAGCTGCTCAGCAGAAGCACACCATCTCTGCTATGCCTTCTGCTGTGCATTCTGTCCTGATTAAAAAAAAAATCTGGCAGTGTCACTGCCTGTCCCCCTGGGAGTGCATCATGGCTACAAACCAGGTGCAACCATTAACACTGCTGTAAAATGAGCTCTTCATTTCTCTCCCATCACATTGGGGAAGGCAAAATATCCCAAACAGGCTTCTATCCAAGGACAAAGCCCTCCAGGCCATGCTTGCTGTCCAGTCAGCAAAGAGAGATGGTTCAGGCAATTGAGACACAGTGCATGACAGAGCAGCAGGAGAAGTAAGAAGAAGAAGCTGAAACTGTGGGCAAGGAGGACGATCTCCAAGCAGGCCAGGAGCAGCCTGGGATGAGCAGGGCATGACACAAACTAGAGGGGTTGCAGAAATCCACCTGGGATTAGCTGGGAGTGACAGAGTCAGCAATGAGTATCTGAGAGGTCATAGAGAATGGGTCAGATTTCAGAATTACAGACTTACAAAGGACTTTAAAGGGGTCATCTAGTCCCAATACCCTGTCATGAGTAGGGACACCTTCCACTAGACCAGGTTGCTCAAAGCCCTGTCTAGCCTGGACATTCTTCCAGAGATGCAGCAACAGCTTCTTTGCCAGCACCTCACCACCCTCACAGGCAAGAATTTCTTTCTAATATCTGTTGCTTTAAAAACAAAACAAACTCTTTGTAGAGCAAGGCTTGAACTCAAAACAATGTTGAGGTACTGAAGAAAGAGCTGGAACTATTTCAGGAGGCAATTCATCAAGGATTATGGAAAAGGGCCAATTTTGAGAATAATCAAACAAGTAAAATAATCCAAAGAATTAGGAAATTCTTCAGAGGATAACACTGGAAGTGAAACTGACTCTGGAAGTGAAACGTCACACTCCAGGTGAGTGGGCAGCACCAGGATGTCCCCTCCAGGACACCACCACCACCATTGTGGTGCTGGGGGTGCCAGAGCAGGACAGAGTGGGATGAGGACCTGGGAGAGAATCACCTGTTCCAGGCACCACTCTAGGGACATCCATGCATGAAAACATGCAGCAGAGCTGCTCCAGGACCCCCAAATCCACGGGCTCGGAGACAAGAAGAGAAGCACATTTCCAGCCTGTCCTGCACCCCAGGAGGCCCTGGCTGTGAGGTCTGGGATGCCAAATCCCACTGCTGGGAAGCAGCACTCCCTGCTCTACATGGGCACTGCCAGCCCAGGCGGTGCCAAGCTATCACTTTTCAGCTGGAAATAGCCCCAGCACGAGCCCTCAGCTGGGAAGCAGAGCACTGGCGAGGCCAGACTGCGGTTAGCTATCAAAGACAACTAAAAAAAGATATTTCACACACAGGCTTTTTTTTTTTCCCTTCTCTTTCTTTTTGGTTGCTTTTTTTTTTTTTTTTCCCAGGATTAAATCAACTCAACAGCCCCCTTTACAACTTCCCTTTTGATGTGTTCAGACTCATTAAAGTTTCATTTCTTTCTCTGTTTTCCCCGGGGGAGGAAGGGGAGCGTACACAAAAGTTTATTTCAGAAGCGGGGTCGGCAGCTGCAGCAGCAGCAGCTGCTCTTGCTGTGGGACAAGTGGAGCCTCCACCAGCCTCTGCTCCGTGCCCAAATCCCTTGGTAAAACACATCCCCCAGCAGCCACCCTGCTCCCATGAGCAACCCCAGCATCACCCTGGCACGATGCTGCACGAATGTTGCTGCAGGATGCACACATGGTGTCACACGTCACAAAGGGAACACACGAGAGATGCAAAGCTCCTCTCAACCCTGTGGGGAGTTTTGGGTCTGATCCTGCAAGTTTTCAGAGCCAACCCTACAAGTTCTGGGGTCCCTTCCCAGCCTTTTCCATTCCCCCCATTGGCAGCACCAACCTTTCCCCCACAGCTTTGGCCACTGCCCTGGGATAATCCCCCGCACACGTCAAGGGAGTAGCAGCTCCCCCATGTTTCCTTCTCGCCTGAGCAGCTGTTTAAGTGTCTATTTTAAAACTCAGTTCCCTATTTTAAAATAGCTAATGAGCCCCCGATCTCTGCTGACAGACGTCGTCTCTACAAGGTCTTGGGAGATGCTTCTGTGTTTGCCGGGCTCCTTTTCCCAAGCCCTGAATCTCAGCATGCCCAGCACGTCTCCAATCTGCACAAACATGGTAAAGAGGGAAGTTTTTAATTTAAGGGCCAACTCCTGCTCCCCTACCGTGAAATACCAGCGGTACAACCACGTGCTCCTAGACAGAGAAGCATCAAGCAGCCAGGCAGGGGCTGGCATTCTGCACTGTTTTCTGTTGTTATTTTTTTTATCGTTCCTTCAATTTTATCAGATCTTTTTTAAATTTTCCTGACCAAGAGCAAATAAGGAGCTGTCCCAGCTGGCCACTGCCCAAAAAAAAGCCACACACATGAGAGGGACTTTTCAGGATGCAGTGGGAGGTCTCCATGCATCCCTGTGCAAGCCCAGGATCCCAAAACCCATCACCTCTATGTACTCTCTGAGATGGTGCGCACCCCACCAAGGCAGAGGAACCCCACAGACAGGACCAGGCACAGAAGCAGATGGAGGAGACCCTGCTCACTTACCTGACCACAGGTTCAGGGATGGCCTCAGCACTTGCTGGCACCTGGACACCCTTCTCCCACTCTTGTCTCCAGGGATCAGCCAGAACGTAGTACTCATCAGGGCTCAGCTGGAAGGAGTCAGGGATCTTCATGGCTGTTATCAGATCCGTCCGGAAAACCTGCACCGGGAAAAGCCATCCTGAGCACCAAGCCCAGCACAGGCTGGGGGCACACGTGCCCAGGGAGGGTATCCCTGGGAAACTGCCCCCAAAGCACAGCACAGGGGGTGTCTCCATCACCAATCGAGGGGATTCAGGGTGTCAAATCAAGCCCCTGCAAGACAAGTTTTGGGCAGGAGAACATGGCAACAGGCAGGAACTCCTCTCCAGCCAGGCAGTGCCAAGAGCCCAAGCCCTGCAGCTGAAACCCCTTCAAGGTCCCCCATACTGGGCAGTCAGGAAATCCAGCCACAGGGTGTGAGCTTGGACAAGATGCAGACCAAAAATTAGTTTTAAACTGAAGAAACAGGCTGCTTTATCTTAGGGGATTGACGGTTTCAGCATAACCACAAATCTACTCCAAATGCCAAGGAATGCACAGCAACTGGGCTTCTCCACATTTGGCCTTCACAGGACACAAGAAAATGTTGTTCTTGTCTTGAATGAAGATGTGGGAGACACAGAGACACTTCGTCCCAAGCACCTCCATAGCCTCCTCACATCACTTCACCATCCTGAGCACCTTTGTGTCCCCTTCAGGTCACCTCACTGCCCCCAGGCACCTTCCTGTCTCCATCACATCACCTCATTGTCCTGAACAGGGACAGACAAAAGCTTAAAACAGTTATTATCCAGCTAAAATGGGATCTAGGTGCTGCTTACATATCCACAAACACAGATTTTTCCTGACTCAATAAACCCCTTGTGAGATCAACACTGGTCCCCTTCTGCAGGAAAATCCTTCAGTCCTTCAGTCAGTGAATGTGCTCATTCTCCATCTCACTTGTGGCCCTGCAGCATCTTCTCCCAATATACAGGGATGAAAAACTCATTCTAAAAATATCCCTCACGGTAAGTACGGTTTTCCTTCCAGAGGGCTGCCTGACAGCAATGACTCGAGCAATCCTGCCTCTTGCAGCATAAAAATAAATTGTAAATGAAAATGGATGATTTCTCCTCTCTACCATCTGCTATTAGCTGGAATAATAACTGCCAGTGCCAGCAATCCTGCCTGGACACCATCTCGCTCCATCCCTGCTACTTCTGCATTCCTTCCACAAGGCTGGGATGGATCAGGTGTTTTCTCTGGATATTGCTTAATCTCTTCACAGTCTGTTCTCCAAATGAGAATTGCTTTGTCAGAGTCACAAGAAATAATACAGTATAGTTTCAGATTTTTTGACACAAAGATAACACACTTTGGAGAGTATTTGGGAACCCAAATCGACTGAAATGCAGGAAACTAGGCATTAAGCAAGACCACTGAGACCAGTATTTAGGTCAGTTTGTTTAATCCTCAGAGCCTCAGCTGCTAACCCAATTAGAGTTAAATACAATATATAAACAACCTTTGCTATGTTGGGACCTCTGAATTTCACTGGTACTCTCCTCCTGATGCAGCTGTTTGGAGTCATTTTTAACTATGTCCATATAAACCTGATTTGAGTTGGTCAGACACAGTCTTGGCACACCCTTCAACAGACATAATTAACAGCCTATAGATTACAGTCAGCTCAGTTTGGGAAAGATCAGGGTCCTTTAAGCCTCTGTGTGTTACAAACACCACAGTAACCTTTTAACACACCACCAGTGTGGGAAATTAAAAAAAAAAAAATAAGAGAGGCATTAATTAAACATAAGAAGGGATATGTGAGATATCACAGTCCCTCCAGCAGTGTGGGTCTGTGATCCAAACAAGTGCAGGAATCCCACTGAAGAGAGTTTTCTAAAACAAAGGGTAGAAATACACCACGTTCTTGACAGCCCTGTGCTGACAGGTCACAGCCTGGGTCAACAACATCTCCTCAGCCCAGTTTAGGTGCCCAGCTCCAAGGAGGACAACACAAACCTGAGTAATCCCTCAGCCTCAGAGCTCTTGGCTTGGGTGGATGAGATGCTCCCCTGTGCCTGAGGGCACCAGGGAGGTCAGTGCCACCTCCCTCCTCTGGCCAACAGCACCACACAATCATTGATGCACAGAATCACTGAAGTTGGAAAAGCCCTACAAGATCACCAAGTCCAACTGCCAGCCCAGCACTGCCAAGCTCAGCACTAAAGCATGTCCCCAAGAGCCACAGCCACATGTCTTTTAATTCCCTCCAGGGATGATGATTCCACCACTGCCCTGGGCAGCCTGTGGCAGTGCTTAACCACCCTCCCAGTGAAAAACTTTTTCCTAATATTCAATCTAACCTTCCCCTGGCAACAGCACAATACTGCTATAGAAAATACTGTTTTGAAGACACATGCCTTAGGGATCTGGGGGCACAGGCAAGCAGGAATGGTTTCCAAAGGTGCAGGGCACCCAAAACTTTTCTGAACAACCTGGGCTGGATCCTGCTGACATATGAGTACCCTCCTCCCTCAATGCCAGCTCAATTGCCTACTGAGGACATCTCCGTTGATCCTGTGGGGTGCAGGAGCATTGCATTCTTTTTTCATGCAGGCAAATACACCCAATTCTGCCAGGAAGCTGCTCAGGGCAGTGCAGGGCAGGATGGCAGCATGCTCCTGCTTCCACCTCAGTGCACAGACCAGACAGCCAGCTCCAGAGCAGTGGAGACCATGGGACTGCCCTTTCCAGGACAAACAACCATTGGGAGGGTCAGCTGTATCACTCCCCTGCCCCGAGGCCTCCCCAGGCACCCACAGCAGCTGTGGACTTCCCAGAGCCTTACCCCAAGCAAAAATCACCATTTTCTTTTGCTAGGTCAGCACCAGATGACAGCAGTGAGGTGACAAGCCCTGTCTCTTTGGGTAACACCAGGGCTGCGCATCCATGGAACAGTGTCAAAATCCTGGCCTGCCACCCTCCTCCTCCTGATGAAGAGGGAGGTGGAGGAGCCTGCACAACAGGACCAGCCCTCGGAAAAATTTCTCCCCTCTGCACAGTGCAGATCCCAAGCCCACGGTTTCCTGCATTAAGTCTTCCCCAAATTCATCCCTTCTGGCCTTTCAGCTCGCATCAGAATAGAAGCTTAGTTTTAATTTTAAGCCAAATAAGCATGATTGTATCTATTTCCCTGAAGATAAGGCACATCGCAGGCTGGATTTGCAATCTCACTACTTCATTTATTTAGTCCTTCTTGGAAAACAGATAAGCTCACCCATCCGACGGCAGCACGCGCGCCCGCACTTTATCACAGCGACGCCTCTGTCTTTTCATGAAGAACTGGATATGCTCAAATTATTAACTATCAAAGCAGAACACTTTAGAAATGATAGAACAGCACAGAAATTGTAAAGGAAAGCAGATCAGTTGTCTGGAAATCTCCCAACAGCTAATACGCTCAAATTGTAATCTAAATGTCTTTTTGTTTTGAATTGTCTGGGATTAGGGTTGGGAAAAGACTCAATTATTCTACTCAAACTCTTCTGAATTATTTATGAAAACCAAATAAAGGATAAATTGGGCACTGATGAACCGAGGACCTGGCGATGAAGAGAAAGTTGGGTACCAGAAAACAAGCAATTTTCCCTCAATAGGAGTGTTTACTGTTTCTCCCCGGCCGTGGGAGCTGACAGATTGTCTGCTGCCCTGCACCCACTCCCCCCACCACCACCACAGCCCTGGCCAGGCTCTGTCCTTCCCTTTCAGCCCTGAATGGGATCTGAGTTATTGTCTATCGATCTGCCAGCAATGGGAAAGGCCAAACCAAGATGCTCCTTTATTACCTCTGCTTGCTCAGGAACCTCATGGAGGTTTAATGATGCTCAGAGATGCATCACACCAGTGCCCAGGGCCAGCCTCTCCCTTTGTTACTGTCAGATTTAAAGACAGGGAAAAAGAACATGAAATTTCAAAATCCCAAGATATTTTTTCCTTCATATTTTCAAAAGAAATGGACATTGAGTCCACACCAGCCTCAGACTCCATGCAAAGAAAGAAATGTGAGGAAAACCTTAATCTCCCTTGTATTCCACAGGCCAGGCAAGCCTGGACTACCCACCCCCAGTACTTCCCCATCCTTGCAGCCCACCAGTTTGTGGTGTTGGACTGACTCACCAGTAGGGCCAGTCCTGGCAGTCCAGCCACTAAAAACTCAATGGGACACCACAGCCATGGTGCTCCCCAACAATACACCAGTACTCTTGTAATTTCTGTAATTTGCCATTTTGAAGCAAAAGCTGTATTATTTTTACTTTTCAAAAATAATAATAATAAAAAACCTAACAAACCCTGAGATAATTATATGTAACATCCTCTGATGTTTACATCCCAATGTGTCACTTGGATCAGCCTGGCATTGGAAGGATGCTCCTGCAGGTATGGCAGAAACCTGCAAGGCAGGGGTTGGTTTTGGCTCGTCCTTGAGCCCCTGGCACCTTGTGCATCAGCTGCTCTACTTTGGTGAGGAACTGCTGCTTCTCCCACTGGACACAGCCCTGCAGCCTCTCCCTGTGCCCTGTGACACCTGTGAGGCATCTCTGGGAGCTCTCCATGGACCAGCATCAATTTGTCCAACAGCTGGACAACCTCAGAGAAAACCACATACCCCTGGGGGATGCCAAGGCACGGAGTGCCTCACCTCAACAGGCAGGACGATGGAAATGCCATGAGGCATCAGAAATGCTGCTCCCCATCCCTCCCTTAGCTAAGGACTCCCAGGCTGTGCTGCTTTCCAGCATTCTCCTCCTTCTCAACCCCATCACCATCCAGCCCCTCTGAGAGCCTCTCCACCACCTTTCCATGCAATTCTCACACCAATTTCTAAGCTCTGTGATTCACTCACAAACCCCTCATAATGAAGTGGCTAGCAATCTCCCTGCCATTCAGCTCCCACTCCATGTGCTCTGTCAAGGACTTGGCTTTTCCAGTGACTGTACTGTAGCTCTGAGCCTGCCAAATATCCCCTTTGCCCCAAATATCCCACCCGAAAACACCAAACTCGGATCCCGTGGTAACGACTTTCCTCTTGTACGAAACCAGCTCCTGGGTGCGAGCCAAAGAGCCGGATCTG